GAGTCGAAATAGGACTAGAGATACAGGGTCATAATTTCCCCTGCATAGAGAACAAGAAAAACACTCCAGCCAGGAGTTCTTAGTAAAGTATCACTTGAAAATAATGGTGAGGACGACAGTGACAACTGGCATCTAGCAGCCTAAGTCCTACTGAATTGAACCCGCTGAAAAGTGAAGGAACAGGGATGTTAAAGAATGAAGATGAAAGCTGGATATGGTGGCATACATCTTCGTTTGTGAGGTAGATTCGTGTGGATTTTCATGGGTTTGAGGTTAGCCTGGCCTATACAGTAAGTTCCAGATCAGCCAAGGCTACATAATGCAACCTTGTTTCACAAACAGTAGTAGTAGCAGTGGCGGCAGCAGCAGCAGCAACAACAACAACAACACACAAACAAAAGAAAAAGAAAATTAAGATAAAAAAGGCAAACTCAAAGCGGCTGACTTTGCTTTGTGCTTTAATTCCAAAGTATACCTTAGCTGCCACTGATAGCATGTGGCACTGAGGTGTCTGTGCCTGCTTCCTTCTGTGGACCCTCTGTCCAGTTTTATTCAAGCTAATCTCTCAGACCAAAGTGAGTTAAGGCATATGCCAGCACTTAGGAGGTGGTGGCAGGAAGATCAGAAGTTCAATTTTGCACAAATCAAAAGTGGACAAATAACAAAAAATTCTCAACAACAAAACAACACACACACACACACACACACACACACACACACACACACACACACACACACATATCATCCCCACTATAAAACACAAGACAAACACCACCCCCCTCAAAATTCCCAGGAATATAAGACTTGGAGACTGATGTCAATCACTGTATTTCTAAATGGACCAATAATGAGTTCTGACACAGTGACAAAACTTTACTTTCTAACTTATTTCTAGGCCCTGCCTCAAATCTATTCAAGGCAGTAGCCTTTAATTTTCAGTATGTCAACCCTGGGTATTCATATTCTTATCTCTGGGTCATTTTTGAAAGAAAAGATTTATTTACCTTTTTAATATATTAGAACTCCCCATTTTTTATTCTTTCTAAATTTACTTAATTATTTAATTTTATGTGTATGGATGTTTTGCCCGCATGTATTTCTGTACCACAGGTGCATGCAGTGCCCATGGATACTAGAAGAGAGCATCAGCATCAGATCCCCCTGGAACTGGTGCTACAGACAGTTGCTAGTGGCTATGTGTGTACAGGGTATCAAACCAGGGTCCTCTGGAGGAGCAACCAGTGCTCTTAACCAAGAAACTCTCTCTAGCCCCCAGTTTTTATTATTTCTAACACTACAAGCTGTTTACAAACAAGTGCCAAATGTACAGCTACCTTGAGGAGAGGGCAAGATCTGGTGTCAAAGAGAAGACCTAGAGCTCACCTCCTTTATATCCACTACTCTAGACCATCTCTTTCAACATACTAATAAGTAATACTATTCCATTAGATGTTAAGTAGTCCTAGGAAGAAATATTATAATGTAGAGCTGAAAAACTGAGGTTCACAAAGGTTAAGAATTATAGCTGGGTGGTGGTGGCCTTTTAATTCCAGCACCTGGGAGGCAGAGGCAGGTGGATCTCTGAGTTCAAGGATGACCTTGTCTACAAGATGAATACCAGGACAGCCAGGGCTACACAAAGAAACCCTGTCTTGAAAAACCAAAAAAGCAAAACAAACAAACAAAAGAAGTATTTGATGTCCCAAAGCTGGAGAGAGACAGAGCCAGATTCTGGGTCCTGACCCATCTGATCCCACTGCTGTTATTTTTTCTGTAATAGGGTGTTTTAAGATGGGAGAACCACTACTTTAGATACACCCACTGTATTTTGTTTCTATTTGGTCAAACCAGGGTAATAGAAGGAGCATAACTACATACTGTGTGAACATAGTCTGCTGCCTCTTAAGTTTAGGTTAAATTTAATCCTTATTAGAGAAAGGGTGAAGCTAGGTGAGATTTTCAGAGGTGAGAGTACTGGATTCACTCACTTACACATTAACTAATATATTAACGGATTAATGCATTATTTCCAGAATGGGTTTGGTATCAAAGTCAGCTTGGGGAGGTCTCTCCTGTGATTGCTGCATCTTGCCATGTGATACACTGCACTGCCTGGGGATGCTGCCAGCAAGAAAGCCATCATGAGATACAGGCCCTTGATCTTGGACCAGAACTGTGAAGCAAAACAAACTTTTCTTTATGATTTACCTAAGGAGTGATATTATGCGTCTAGCAATAGAAAAATGGATGAAGATAAACATCTTGTTTACTTTTCTGAATTTTTTTCTTTTAAAGACAGACTCATTCTGTAGCCCAGGCTGGCCTGCAACTAGGTAAGTAGACCAGGATGGTTTTGATCTCACAGTGATCCTCCTGCCTGTCTTCCAAGCACTGGGATTGAATGTATGTAACACCTGCCTGGCCCAGTTCTCTCCTTTTTATCTAGGGAAGTACAAAATTCCTTTACTTACTTGTAAGTGTCACCCTGTCCCCAAACTGAAGAGGTATGCACTGAATTGTTTTCAAAAATCTGTCTTTTAATGCAGTCTGTACAGAAACAAATGATGAACAGGGCTACAATTGTCTATGCAAGCAGACTCTAAAGGTCTTTGATAAAGAAAGCTTTGCACAAGTCATAAATGTTGTAACTTTCTATTAGCATCAGAAGATGCTGGGAACTTTCAAATACTATGTTCTTTTTTTTTTTTTTTTCATTTACCTTTCAAACGGACAACAATCCTAGTACCTAAGAAGCTAGTTCTGTTTAGGATACAGAAAGTGCTAGTGAGGACCTCTACCCAGCAACAAGAGGTGGATTATCTAGGAAATATCAACTGTGGAGCCACAGAGAGACGAGGTAACTAAGTAAAATGAACTCAAGGTGACTAACTTACTTGAGTAGTAATCAAATGGGCTTGGCAAAGGAGAGGGGAAAGGAAGGAATGGCAGCCATGAAGGTGAGAAGGAAGGAAAACAATTATGATTTAAACAGGAACAAGACCATCTTTGTATTGTTTTGATTTCTTGAGACAAGGGTCTTGTTATATAACCCTGGCTAGCCTGGAGCTTGTGGTAATTCTCTTGCCTCTGCCTCCCGAGAGTTGGAATTACTGGTGTGCACTACTGCACTTCCTTAAACAGATCCTAAAACTCAGAATACAGGTCAGTTTTACAGAACAGGATTCTTTGGTTTCTAGACATGAAGGAATAATCCACAATCAGTGGTCCAACTTTCTCACTGGCCTTCACTGAGTGTTAACTCAAGATAATTCTATCCAATGATTTTTTTGTTTTGTTTTGTTATAGCTGAGACAGACTGAAACACTGTCTCAAGAGACAAGAGTTTGAGTGACCTTGAACTTCTGATTCCTGTCTCTACCACCCAGGTGCTGGGTTACACACATTGTCCTTTAGCTTAAAAACTTACCAGAGTGTTGTAATGTAGTCATAACTCACTAAAGACAGCTGAAGATTTATGACATCAACCACACCCTTTGTAGTATTGAGGCATCTGCACTGGCCTAACCTTGGAGTTCTGACAGGACACACTCTCAGTTGCAGCCACTATTCACTATGTCCTCATCCTCCTCTCTCTTTTTTGTCACCCTCTCTGTCTGTACTCCCCCTTTCTTTCCTCTCTCCTGATGCTTCTGTCCCCTTTTTAAGATCCCTTTCCCTAATTAAAACAAAACAAAACAACAACAACAACAAAAAAACATCTGCTTGAACCCTGTTGCATGACATTTTTCTCAGGCTACTTTATTTAAATTACAACACCCTTTCTTCCATGACTACCATTTCAACATGAAGCCCTATGGCTTCTGAGTTGGTCCTCTGTGATCAGAGCAAGTGATTCTGGTACATCTCTCTTACATCTAAGGTAGATGTACTTTCTCCCCCATCATCTCCAGACCTGGTTTCACCAGGGCTTTGGCTGAAGGAGGGAGAATACTGGAATAATTTAACAACTGCTTTAGTTTGGAGAAGGGGACCAAAAAGGAGTCCAAAGTAGAACTGAGGAAGAAAAAAGACTAATCTGAGGGTGACTCCTGCCTCTACCCAGTTCTGTGAGAAGTAAGGCACCCCTTTTAAGATTTCAACTATCACACATCTATTGCTCACCTGTTATTGCTGTTCTGGGGTCCATAGACCCCCAGCATCCCCTTGTAGTACCCACTTCCAGTCCTGCTGCTTCGACAGGACTAGAAGGCTGGAAGGCATCACAGATCTTGGGGTATAAGGTTGTGCTAACCAGATCCCAACTCTCCCAAGAGTGGCCCACAAGAATTAGGCTGGAAGTGTGCTTAGTCACATTTCCCAGCTGTCGATATTCAGGATATATTTACAATGAAGACCACCCCTCTGGTGGCCACACTGAGGAGTATGCAGAACAGAAGCAGGAGGAAGGAGGACATTCCACGGTACTATATTAACCTAAAATTCTAACTTTGGTGAAATTTTACCAAAAAAATTTAAAAATTTATGTGTGCTTTCTGTTGATTTGGAAACAAAAAAAAATCTAAACCAATCACAAATAATATAGGGGGAACCTAAAGAGATGGCTCAGTAGGTAAAGTACTGCTGTACAAGTCTGAGGATCTGGTCCCCAGCCCCATGTAAAAATTTGGGAGTGATGGTATGCCTGGGTAATCCCAACCATGAGGAGGAAGGGAAAACAGGAGGACTCCTGGGGTTCATAAGTCAGCCCGACTAGCCAAAGTAGTGAGTTCCGGGCCAGCAACAGACACTGACTAAAAAAAAGAAAAAGGTTGACAGCTCTCAAGAAATGATATGTGAGGGTGACCTCTGGCCTCCATGTGTGTAAATATACATATACCCCTACCTGCTATTAACAGATCTTCACACACACACACACACACACACACACACACACACACACACACACACACACACGAATACCTGGAACCATGTCCTGACTCCTAAACACTACCCATCCAGAAAGGGATGTGTGCTTGGGCCACAGCTTAAGTCAGACCTACCTGCTCCTGGGTCATCTTCTGCAGCTCATTCTCCCAAGCTGCCTGGTCATCATCTGCATTATAAGAAGCTGGTGGAGTGAGTCCACGAAGGATTAAGGGGTCTCGGTCATGGCAGAGGGCTGTCAGGTGTCCAATATACAACTTTAACTTGCTTCTATTTTGGTCAAGTTCTAAGAGGGGCTGGATGATCTGAGATAAAAAAAAAAAGGAGGAAAGTCAAGGTTAATCTGAAATGAGAAGTTCAAATATTCTTTATGCTTCCTAAACCCAAACTAAAACTGTTTTCAACATGATTGCAATTCTCATAATTATAAAGAGAAGCATTTTCACAGTACTGTTTACTGGGAAGTGGGGAGGGACTATGGCTGGACATAGCGATAGAGCTCTGCATGGAGGCAGGAGACTTTTTTTGGATTAAAAAATATATTTTATTGTGAATTTAAAAAAATTATATATTTTATTGATATTTTGCATATGGATGCACTTGTCATAGCATGTATGGGGGACAAAGGACAACTTGTGGGAGTCCATTATTTCCTTTCACTATGTAGGTCCTGGGATTGAACTCCAGTCTTCAGGTTGGTGGTATCTTCACTGCCAAGTCATTTTACCAGTCCAGACTAGCTTGTTTTTACAGAGATGTTGTCCCTGCTGCCTAAAGCCTCCAGTGACCCCACTAGTGCTCTGTGTACTTTGTTTTGAACAGATTTCAAAAGACCACTAATGAAATTGTTCATCTGAAAGCCTGGACAACATACTACACATGGTCCTCTACCTCCCAGAATGGAAGAAAAATTCAGTCTCTGGAAAAGGTGCGTGTTGTTCTTGGCTAAGACCTATGATGAGATAACTCATTACTAAGTCTGTCTCATCCTGGCCAAGTTCCCTCCATTCATTTCCCAGAGGCTATCTGATATTCTTTCTCTTCAAACAGCGACTGGTAGATCTCTACATAACACCAAGTACCTGACTTACAGCTCAGGCCTGAAACCCTCACTGTAACACTGTCTATGAATTTTTCTTAAGAGACCTGCTGTAAATTTGTTACCTATCTGGTTCCCTTTGTCCCAAATGAGTAACTATTCCTTGGATTTTCTTTGGGAGTACACTGAATGATGGATTCTATTCCATGTTTCATATGACAGCTTTGGGAACAAAAATCTGGCCATGTATTGGCATTGGGGTCACAGTCCAAGGTGATCAGAAAGATCCAGCCTTGCATTCCAGTATGCAGTTAAAGCCGCAAGTACAAAACTAATGTCAGCCATGGGAGCTGCCAAGTCTTGGCAGAGCTCCCAGGGCTTACACCAGAAATTTGTACCTGTTGCATGCAACTAGCCTGGCATTTTTCTATTAACAAGACACCTCTATCCCCATCTCACGAATAAGGGACTAGATCATCTTCATATAGAAGGAAACAAGGTCTGGTATTCATTTGAACAGTGACACAAACTTCTCCGTGAATCCCACAAAAAAAGAATCTTTATCTCAAGTTTAAGATAATATAAAATAGATAGTGAGCCTGGCTAGACAAATCACAGGAAAGTGAGTCAGTTTGGGATTACTGTAATTCACACACACACACACACACACACACACACACACACACACACACACACACTTGTTTAAAGGTAATAGCTGAGCACTAAAGCACTATTGTGTAAGGCTCACAGGCTTTCCAAGAGACCCCTGGTCAGAAGGCTCCCAGTGACAATTCTGCACCAGCATTTCCTATCTACAACAGGTAGATCAACATAGCCAGTCAGAGAAGGATGATGTCCCAATCAAAACAGAGATTTAGAAAGTGAAGGATTCAGACAGCTCTTCACAAACAATACTAACTCCTCAAAAAGAACTGTTTTATTTCTGACCCCTAATGCATACTCACTGTGGAAAGAGTAACGATTAAAAAAGGCTGGGCATCGTGGTGCATGCCTGTTAATACCAGCACTCAGGAGTCTGAGGGAGGAAGATCATGAGTCTGTTGGCTACTCTTATGTCAACTTGACACAAGCTAGAGTTATCTGAAGGGAGAAAACCTCAACTGAGAAAATATCTCTATAAAATAAGGCTGTAGGGCATTTTCTTAATTAGTGATTGATGGAGGAGGGCCCAGCCCATTGTGGATAGTTCCATTTCTGGACTGGTGGACCTGGGTTCTATAAGAAAGCAGGCTGAGCAAAGTCACGGGAGCAAGTCAGTAAGCAGCACTCCCCATGGTTCTACATCAGCTCCTGCCTTCAGGATGCTGCTCCTGTCCTGACGTCCTTCAATGAAGAATTGAAGTAATGTAGAAGTATAAGTCAATAAACTTTTTCTTCCCCAATTTGCTTTTGGTCATGGTGTTTTGTTGCAGCATTAGGAACCCCAACTAAGACAATGAGTTTGCAACAGTCTCAAAAATAAATATTTTTCTATCCAATTCATATTACAGGTAGAATATTAGTCATACAAAATAATGGAGTTTCTTTGTAGTCTTTCATCAGCCCCCTACCACATTACTGAGAATCAAACTTAGGGCCCTGCACACATTAGCCAAGTGCCACTGAGCTATGTCCCCTGCTCTTGCTTTCCTGTTTTGAGACAATGTGTCATTAAGTTGTCCTAGATGGGCCTTGAACTTGCAACGATCCTCCTGTCTCAGTCTCCTATGCTGTCCCACCTGTGATATTTTCATACATACATGTAATAGATGTTGACAATACTGATCTAACCTCCCCTCTTTCTGATGGTCTTCCCTTCTACTTTCACATCTTCCCCACTCCCACCCTTCTCCCATGTCCAAGGAAAAGCATGCAAAATGCGTACGTGTGTATGTATATATACACACATGTATATACACATATATGCATATTTGTATATATTTCTTTATTTTAAATTGGGAAAAAGTTAAAAATGAACTTCTCAAGATATATTTGTTACATGTAAAAGGTAACAAATAAACGTTTTCACCATTCTATATTTATCAAATTTTATAGAGTGTGTCTATGTGTTGTGCTGGTAATTGAACCCAGGGAGTCATACATATTAGGTAAGTGCCCTATCATTGAGCTATGCCCTTACTTTATTTTTAATATAAATTTTGAGAAATGGTCCTGCTACATTATCCAGTGCTGGAAGCCATGGGAGTATACAGCAGGTGACAACTAGTGTTTAACAAGTTAACCTACCACATGAGTGACTCTCTGATGGGGAGCCCCACTTGGCAAGGCCATGGGGGTCACTGGCTGTAGATAATTGTTTGTCTGTGTAATTCTTCTCATGTGACACTAAAAATAGCTATGGGTATTATTCCCACTGCTTGTGTGTTTATCTCATGTATATATTCCATCTATTGGGCACACATAGCTGTGGATGGTCAGGAAGATGATTCCTGCTTAAACTGTATAATACTGATGAATAGATATAAAGCTAGGATATTTTTCATTACTCAGACTGACATAGGAAAGCAATAGTATTCTTAGTCACTAGACAGCTAATTTTAGACTTCAAAACAAATTCAAAGCCAACTGGTTGCCCCTAGAGATGAATATAAGAGGTCAATTTTCCTAGGTGCTTATTGCTGATTCAAGGTCAGAGCATGAAGCAACTATAGTAGATATAACTTTCTCAACAATGGACTTTATGCACATACTCCCAATCTCAAGGTTCAGTCAACTAACTGTTTATTGTTTATTTCCTGAATTTCAATGTCATTTTCTGTCTGGGAACCCTGACCACTCAGAGCTACGTGCTTTCTTTACTTACTGCCCTACCTGAGAGAAACTGTATGATTTGTTTGGCTCTGGTTATTTATTTATTTTTTATTATTATTTACTCAAGTAGTGCTGTGACCCCAAAAATGTAATTCATATTGTTCAGAGACTTTTGATATGAGAGGAGATGAGAGATGGAGAGAGAAGTATTATATAGCTGTATGTAAAGAGATGTAACTATAGTAGAGAGATTGTCAAGAAAGAGAGATTATTCAAGATGAAGTAAAAGAGAAGGTAACCCTCAGGAAAGTGGGTGTTTGTTCCTTTTTTTCTTAAGTTACCATCAGAAAGTGTGAGTTTCCTTATTTACCCTCAGATAGAAAAGTCTTACCCAAAGATAAAGAAGACATTTTCTAATTTCCTTACTGCTCTGAGAAGGCATTCTTTTCACCACCCTGGGTGTAGTACTGGGAGCTGGTCTCTCGGGCTGCAACAATCCAAGATGGCCTTGAACTTGTGATCCTCCTGCCTCAGCTTTGGAAGTAGGTGTGATAATGACTATGTAACCAGATCCAGTTCTACAGTTATAAATGTTAAGGAAAGTAAATCATGAAAGGTGAGAAATTTTTCTTCTCACTGATTAATCCTCCTGGTCAATACTGTTAATTAGAGAGGCCAAGGATGGAGTATTAAATTATTTGCAAAGTTGTAGAACTACATATTACATTCTCACTTAAAGCAGTTTATTTATGAAAGAGTTCTTCAAAAATATAGAAAAACTCTATTGTGGGATAATCTTTTGTACACTATGAAGATGTGTTGCTCTCATTGGTTTAATAAAGCACTAAATGGCCAATAGCTAGGTAGGAAGAGGTTAGGCGGGACTTATGGACAGGGAGAGAATTCTGGGATGAAGAAGGGCAGTCTCCAGGAGATGTGGGGAAAAGGAAGATGAATATAACATGTGAAAGAATGGTATTGAGACACATGGTAGACCATAGATAAAAATATGGGTTAATTTAAGTTGTAAGAGTTAGTTAGTAACAAACATAAGCTACTGCCCAAGCATTTATAATTAATAAGTCTCTGTGTGATTATCTGGGAGTTCATAGGCAAGAACAGAAAATTACACATACACTCTATAGAATTTTTATTACATTGATCAGGTATACTGCCTATCAAATCATAATTTACAAAAGGAAAAAATTAATTCAGTTTAGCACATAGTGAATGCCTGAGTGGTATGCTGTATTCTAGCCAAAGGGAATATATAAAGATGTAGATCTACTGTAAAGATCTTATGAGATGAGTGATTAATGTTTGGGTAAACATAATAGTTAAACTATATAATAGATTCATCTTTTTTTTAGCCTTTAGTTTGGAAACTGATGTCAAGAATCCTTAAATTGCTAAATAAATCATCTTGCCTTAGTTGAGATTTAGTCTGACTTAATCTTCAAATATGTTTATGAAATCCAACAAGCTTTTTATTTT